GTTTCTTCAAGGAGTAAGAACCGTGTATTGCATATATTATTATATATATATATCTTTGTAGTTATTGATAATTATTGTTGATAACTGATATAGATGATAGATATTCTTCAAGATGTAAGAACCGTATATATTACAAATATATATCTTTTTTCTTTATTGATAATTATTGTTGATAATAGGTGACGGTGGTGGGTACGAGGGTTCTTCAAGGTGTAAGAGCCGTGGATGCTGATCAACCGGGACCATTTTCTACCGTACAATATGCAGTTTTGCCTGGACCACACTCGGTACCATTTTTCATTCTCTTGATCCCTTGGATGAAAGAGATCTTTACGAAACTTATTTTTTTTTTTTTTTTTTAGGATTACTTCGTGTTCGTAAACGCCTTGGAAGGTACTCTGGTCCTGAGGAAGCCGCTGGATTACGAAACACTGGCCAATTTCTCTGTCGATATACGCGCACAAGTGAGCCATTAATCGTTTGAATCCTCGCTTAACGATGACTAATGAACTTTATCAAAATGTCGTAACGAATGTCGTTTCGTTCGCGTAGGATCAAGGTAACCCGCCGAAATCATCCGCCACGACACTCTACGTAAATGTCATCGACGCGGATGACCAAAATCCTGCCTTTCAAAGTGACCAATACAAAATTCTCGTTCCTCGAAACGTTAAAACGGTATGCAATACCATTTATTAATTATTTATTATTATTCTTTGTACTCGAATGGTGACTCTTAGGCACTATTATAGAATATCGTTTCATGAATAGATTCCTAAACACTTTATGTATAATCTTACATAAAATGTAGAATAAGAATAATAGTCGAATAGGTAGATTTTCTTGTCTCAAATTAAATCGCGAATCGGATCTTTAGCATCCGAGTTCAATCGTGGGAATAGAAATATTATTTTCAATGTTTTTTGAGTTTTATAAGTGTAGAATTATTATCGATAACGATTAGATTTCGAGCTTCGAAGATGAGCTTAGATTTTATTGAAATGTTATTCTAATTTCGTAAAGAAATTGACGATAGAGAAAAAGAAAGCAGTGATGAAGATGGAGATGAAGTAAGAAGTATAAAAAATAATAGAGAGTGAATTATGTTAAGAAAAATTATATAAAGTTTGCTCTCGAGAAAGACGTTTTAGTTAGCGATACTTGTCCTGACTTATTAAAATTGAACCAACAATACAATATTTATAATATTCGACAAATTTGTTTACATGAAAATAAAGATGCATAAAACATCGAAATATAAAAGTTTATTTTATTTAATTTGAAATTATTTCGAGTTAAGAAAGTCACAAGATTGAAGCACAAAATCAATCTTAAAATTTTAAAATAATGATCTCGAAGCTGTATAAATTTTTTACTTTTTCTTTCTTTCCAGAGAAAGACACTGAAGGTAGATCCTACGGCGATAAAAGCGATGGATCAAGACGTAGGAATTAATGCTCCCGTCAAGTACACGATTCAAGGAGGTATTCTTCCATTTCTCACCCTGAATCCGGAAACGGCCGAGGTTGCCATAACGCGGCCGTTATACGAACACGAACTCTTGTCCCCAGCAACGATCGTCGTCAAGGCAAACATCCTCGCAATTAACAAATTAATTTAATAAGATTAAAACGCGGAGAAATATCCTTGTCCGAATATCTCATTTCCATTTTGTTTCCAGGCCACGCAGTTGGACAATCCGGATAAATACGCTCTTTCCACCATAGTCGTTTCCCGGGAGGCCGATTGGAGCGTGGAGCCGACCGCTGGTGAAGATAATTTCTCTACTTTTTTTTCTCTATTCTTTCGAATTTTCCCTCGTCTCAATTAATTGTCCTCCTTCGATTAATTGTCAATTATTATAAATTAGGTGGAAGATTACCTGTCAAATTTATACGAAGGGATCATGAGACCAGCATCCCAGAAAATACCCCTCCGGGAAGTGTTCTGTTAACGACAGGAGTGAATAAAGTGGATTCCGTGAGTCAAATTTTTTTTCAGAAATTTAACGATTCTTCTTCTTTCTTTTTTTTTTTTCTTTACTAAATTCCTCTTTTTCAATGACTTTCAGAATTTAAGATTTTGGCTGGTGGGGGCGGTTGAAGATCTCGAGAGATTCTCCATCACCAATTCAGGCGAGTTGATCTTAAAGGGCACTCTGGATTACGAAAGGAGGGTCCAGCACAGTTTTTTGGTTCGCGTTACCGACGGCCATCACGTACGTGCAATCTTCTTTTCTCTCTCGAAATTGCTCGTTTCAAATTTTAGAGACAATAATAATAATTAATTTTCACATAAACGAAAATAATACAAGAATAATTTAAAACACGACACTACAGAACGACACTTCGCGCGTGAACGTTTCTGTCGAGGATGTGAACGAGTGGGAGCCTCGGTTTCGTCATCCTAGATACGAATTCCACGCAGCGACATCGAGGGAAGGATCCATTGTCGGTGAGCCAATTTTCTCTTTTTCTTTTTTTTTTCTTTTTTCACGAATTGATATGTTTAACAATACTTTTCAGGAAAGTTAGAAGCCGCCGATGGTGACAGGGACGACAAAATTAGTTTATCCCTCAGAGGTCCAGACGCAAGGTATGAGGAGACAACAAAATATATACGTTATTTCAATACGATCGAATAAATGATAAAATATATTCAATTGTGTTTCAGATCTTTCGAGATACGTGACAATGGAGAATTAATCCTGAAATCGGTAGCAACGGTTAACGGTTCCTTGGCCAGATTAGTGGCTGTGGCTTCCGATTCTGGCCGCCCCCCCAGGTTCTATTCTGCAGTTTAATAAATAAAACTTTTATTTATAATTCAATTTTATATTATCTCTTCTCTCAAGGTCCAGCATGATCCCAGTAATCGTGCACGTGCCGAATAGCGGATCGTTGCCGATCGCAGCGAGAGCTGCACCCGCCTGGCTCGGGGGCAGCGTCCTCCTTGTCGCCGTTTTCGGCGCCGTTTTGGGCCTCCTTGGTGTTATAATACTTGTTTTGATACTGTACATATACAAGAAGTAAGCATAATTCCTTTGTATCTTATTGTTTATTTATCGTTTGAATTTTTGGGGTACAATTTTTACATCGTTGCAAAAAAAGCAAAAGACCGAAGACCAGCGGGTCCGTAAGCTCGGTGGGGACCGGTTATCGAGAAAAATCGCCGGTTCCCTCTGCCCTGAGCCCGACACCGCAAGTGCTCGGGGCGAACATGCTCCAGGACGCTCTGGAAGTTGGACCTCGAAGAGGAGCTCGAGTCGAGGATGCGCGCAATATCGGGGAGAACGAGGAGGAGGCGGTCACCGGGGACGAAGAAATGGATCGCGTCGATCGCGAGATCGTGGACGATGGCGAGTGTGAAGCGGCGAAAAACGGCGGCGACGATGTTGAAAATCCTGTTTTTGGAGCTAGGAACTATAGTGCCACGATTAAAAGTAAATAAATAATTGTTTCAATTGAAATGTTTCATCGAATTGAATATTCGTTCGTTTGTATAAATTAGGTGTAACGTCGGCCAGGCAAATGCCTGTTTACGCGAGACACAAGATAGCACCAGCTCCTAATCCTCCAGGTCTGTCCGCGACCTCCAACATACCTAACGTCGGAGGTTTGGTGCAAAACATGAACGACTTGAGCGCGAGAACAAACTTGAACGCTAGCTCTTGCCAATCTTCCAATTATTCGGGAGATGTTCCAGACTCGTTGGTACCCGCGTGGCCTGCTTGCTCCGTTTCACAGAGAGTTAAAAAATTATCGTGGGATGACGATGACAGGGTATCGTATCCATCCATTCTAGGAAAATACGTATTTTCCAATAAAATAATGGTACACGATTGTGACGCGTGTTCTTTAATCGTGTTGTTATTGTTATTATTCCTTTTCCTTTCTTTTCTTTCTTTTAGACGGTGGATAGTGTGGAAGTAACGGCGGAAACAATGTCCAGAAACAGTCAGATCGAACGGAACGAACGACTTAATCTCACCGTGTATTTTTAATTTATTTCGTGAAACGAAAGACTGAAAGAGAAAAGGAAATTAATAATTTGTCGTGAACATCGAGTGAAAAAATTCATCGATAGGTTATTCAATAAATAATTCCTTTCTAAACGGACGCTATTAATAGAAATGTTCTGTACCATTGCCAGATGATAACAAATTTTAAATCAATGTACATATAAAATGTATATTAGTTGCAGATTAATGCATCGGATGATAAATCTGCAAATACGTTCTTTATCCATAGTTGTTTTATTAAAGAAATACAAAAGGTTAAGAAATAATGAACGTTTTTTAATTTACATTTTAACTCGACGAGCCACCTATCACGAAGGAGACAAAGTTTCGTTCCATCCGAAGAATCGTGTCAGTAGAACGATTATACTTTTACGAACTCTTATTCGTGTTATTCTTATTTTTCTTCGAGTTATATATATATATATATATATATATATATATTATATATATATAA